CGAAAGGGGCGGGGGAAGGATCCGCCACAGACGCGCGGCCGCGTCGCGTGTTCGGTGCTGGGGCGCGCTATTGCTCTTCACGCAGGTGTTAGGGTGCTGCACTTTCGTAAAACGACTCTTTCCGTTATTCTCTGTTCCAATTATGGATACATGCCTTCTGGAAACCTCTCACTGCTAAAATTTACTTATGTTCTGATTGAATCTGTTCTTTTAAAAACCTCTCACTGCTAGGATTCACTCAGTCTTTTTAATATCATTATGCAGGCCGCTAGTAGTGTGTGAATGTTTATCTTATTGCTAGTGAAAATTCTAGTGCTTAGTATTCGACTTAATTAAAATATTGAAGGCCTGAATAATAATATTAAAAAGACTGAGTGAATCTTAGCAGTGAGAGGTTTTTAAAAGAACAGATCCAATCAGAGCATAAGTAAATTTTAGCAGTGAGAGGTTTCCAAAAGTATGTACCCATAATTGGAACAGAGAATAACGGAAAGAGTCGTTTTACGAAAGTGCAGCACACTAACACCTGCGTGAAGAGCAATAGCGCGCCCCAGCACCGAACACGCGACGCGGCCGCGCGCTTGTGGCGGAACCTTCCCCCGCCCCTTTCGCTCTGTACGGCCACGTTGCGCAGTTTCGCCCGATTAGACACGTTCTCTCGCGCGAACATTCACACTCGCATGCTCGAGCCGTCTGCGTCTCCGCCCATACAGCGTGCGTTGAGGATCTCTCAACGTGCCGTTGCGAACTGCGCAACGCAGGGTTGACTCTGCCTGCAAAGACATCTGGACTCTTCCTTGAGCTGATCAAGTCGGCTAGCCTACGTAGTCATACAGAACAGCACAGGTACCCATGTAGGTCACTCAACCAGAAGCAGCATTTCTCTCGAAACTCAGATGAACTGAACAGATTATTCTGAAGTTCTAGTCGTATTTTAGTAGAATATCTCAGGGGCATCTTTGTCATGAAGAATTATGCGGATAAACGCCAGTTACGAACTTCAAAAGAGCTGAAAAAAGCAACCAGTGAAACACTAAGTAAATCGATGGTCATCTGCCTTGGAATCTCAATTCCAGTAGGCTACGGAGACTATTCAGTGTTGCCCTTGATAAAGGCGGAACCATAGATTATTATGTCTTTTTTATCTGTCATTGATCTCAGGTGATTGTTCTTTTTCTCAGGGTGACCTTATATTATGAAACGGTGCAAAAATCGAAATAATTACAAAAAAAGTTCGAAGAAAAGCTGCTCCCACCAAAATTGCGATACAGGGGTTATTCGTAGTGGGGAATCATTTGGTGGAAAAATCACCAGTTGGCTGCTGGTTCCGGAAATGCAATATTTTAGGGTGACCTTATAATTATGAAACGCACTGTATGGCGAAGGTCGTTTCAGCATCGTTGGAATCAAAGCATTTTCTTCTATAAAGCTAACAAGATGGTGAAAAGTGGGTAAGAAAGAGATTTGATGACTGACTCATACGCAGCAAAATTGCGTAGCTCAGCTAATCCAATTTCTGCAGGGTTGGAGTGCTAACTGGGGTTCGCCACTGCGGAAGAAGAGTCGGCGGCACCACTTGTCCATTTCTTCAGGCCTTCCACCCTGACCTGTACACTTGAGAAGTCAAGCCGGTTGCGCCCAATACGAATGCCAGCTGCTCAATACTTCCATGCAAACTTGGGCTTGCTTAGATCAACAACTGATCCTTGCCAATCTTCAGTATCCGACCACCACCACCCTCTTTAGAGCTCGAGCCATCGCTGTCCCATAGTCAGTGGACCTTACATTTACTGGTACAAAATTTTTAGAAAAATAATTAAATTTGTACGCTTCCCTCCGTGACTATAACACCAATTTTTGGAACCTCCAGTGCACTATTATTTATGAGTACCATAGGGTCCTTCGCAAAGTCAGGCTGGGCGTCATTCTATCAGAAGAAAGTTGAGAGAGCGAATTGCGCCTTCTCTAATTCGATGCACCGCTATTGCAAGCTGTCTTCCTCTATTCGAGAATGACTCTTCAAGGAGCATCTGATCAAACACAAACAGCCATCCCACATTTCTCAATCTCGCTGCTTTGCCTAACACTGCTACAGAAAAGTGGCCAGACTGCAGTTCATCGCCGAGCGCTCCTCATGTAATCAAGTGACAGTGATGGGACATCTCGATGGAGCAGTGAAAATTTAAAAATATGGAGCGTGTATCTCATTCTCTGAGCTCGAACCAACACAGAACACGATCTGTCATCGTCATGCTCTTGTTAGCCTCTTGTGGCTCCTTTAATTGAGCATCCAGCATATTCCAGGTGGTATAGAAAGGGTGTGGGATGGAAAAAGGATATCCTCAAGGGACAGAACCTTAGCCTCAATAACGTGTGAATTCTTTCACCGAAACCCATCCTCCTCCAAGATGATCCTAATGAGTTTTTGGTGTGATGTGAAGGGGCTTCGTATTGGAAACCGACCACCGATAATACCAGAGTCACTGATGATGACAAACTTCAACAACTTGGCGACGACACGTTCAAGTTGAAAGCAAAACATGATAAACCCTGCCTTTCACGAGAACCTTTGACCCCACTTGCGGAGACGTTATAAAAATAGGCTCTCAGAATGACAGTTATTTCGGCATGACATTAGCCAATTCCATACGTAGCCAACGGAAGACTATCTGCTCTACGCTTTGATAAAGAAGAAATTTTGAGCTTACCAGGAAGGTCTTCCAGGACATGGAGCGATTTTCCAAAATGGTTTTTTGTGTGTTATAGGAGAATGCATAGAGCACAGAAATGAGGTCCATTTTTTTCTGAGGACAAAAAAGGAGCGAAAAAACGTGTTCCGAAAATGCACTTTTAGAGCCTTCAAGTAGTGTTGGGGTTATTTAGGAGTGACTACTTTCCATTTTAAATGGTTCTCGGAAAGTGATCATTGAAAATGACGCAAAAATTCGTCAAGAAGAGTTGCTCTCAAGGACTGTGCCGGAAGAACTACAGTCATTTCATAGGGGCGTCACAGGGGCGTTGACGTGATCGTGCCAAAGATGGTGAAGTGGTGTAGTGGATAGCGAGTTGGATTCACATTTGTACGAGAGGATCGAGATTCTTGGTTCGAGTCCATCTTGTTGTTGGCGCCTTGCATTTTAAACTGGCACTCGTCTAAACGGCACCAGCGCTAAGATGGATATTCGCGAACGGGACCACCAATGACCCTTATGAGAAGGGGATTTTTGCAAATACTGGTGAAAAGCGTCGCTGCGTCGAAACGGTGCTATACGGTAACAGCGTCAAAAATGAATATAATTGTTGTGACCGAGGCTGGATAACCCTTAAAGCAGAAGTTTCGATGAAAATCAAGATTTCAACGTGACTACGAAAAAGTGGGCTTCGGATAAGCCTGTCATGCTCCTGGGAACGATATGGAGACGAGCTCCAAAATATTCTAACTTGGCATCTTTCTCGAATTATGAATCGACCGCAGAGTGGACAATCGCATCCATAAACCTACTTTGATGGCCGAAAGTCAACTGCGTTGACAAAAATCATGCTTCCGTATTACCAAGGAGTACCTCGACTTTCCCACAAGTTAGGGTTTTTCTCAGTAACTGACTTGCTTTGAGGTTCAAATTGTGATTTCGAGGAAAAAGAATTTCGGTCGAATTATGACCATCAGCCAGACGTACAGCTTGCTATCCTCTCAAAACTCGCATACAAGTGGGCCGCCTTCGTGTCTTGTTGACTATGATCTGCGACTGGCCCAATTTTTTGAAGTTGGGTCAAAGTCTTAATTTTCTCTGAAACTTTTCTGTAAGGGTAATCCACGATCATCCGGTGATTACGAATATGGCGTCCACTTTGGTGACGACGCAATACAGTGCCATTAGCCTCATTAGACACCGTTTTGACGCCGTTTGAGCACCGTGCACTTTAAACCCAATTTTTGAGCAAAGACCTACTCAAGAAGGCTAACGTGGATCGTGTTTACCAGTATAGCACCGATTTTCAGTGCTGACAACATTTGGCGTCACTTACAAGGCTCTATCTCGAAAATTTCCGAATGTTTCATCTGTTTTTGGTATTCACAGAGTCGCTTAGAAAAAATTCAACGTTTTACGTACATGCCTCTATCGAATACAGAAGACCACTTTGCAAAAGCGCTCCACATCCTGAAAGACTTTTCTGGTGAGTGACATAACATGGAAATATGGCATCCAGAAGTGAATAATCAAAAACCATAAGAACTATTCAAATCGCAAGTGAACAAAACTGCAACGAAGCAAGCGAGCACGAAGGTGACCTATGACGCATAACCCGCGTTGATTCCAGTAGAAGCAATGGCTACACAATCTGATCTCTGACACAACAAGGTGTTCTAACCATTAACCCTACAAAAACACTTGGAATCTGCTCAAGTTCTCACCTGCCTCCACATCAGTCAGGAAGAGAACCTCAGCAGGGCTCAAATTAATTGACTCGCAAATCCTTTTATACGAAGCAGATTCTCCTTTGTATCCAATTGTTGTGTCGAAATATCCAGCAATAATCTTAAAAAATATTTTTGTAAGAAATGACGAAATCAAACCTCGTTCAACCAGAAAAATCCATTCTTCACTTCACTGGAATACAGCTCTCACTTTACCAACACCCAAATCTTAACTCAACGTTCGAAATTGTTTCTTTCTGATAAAGAGTTTTTGCTCCAGAACATGATATTTGCCACAATTACAGCTTGAACTCAGAATTATAGTTAGAAAAAAGTGTTAGAAGAAAGGAGTAAGGAGTCCTTACCTTGGTCATATCACCAACAACTGAATGGCCGAAAAGAAGTTTTTGAGCGAGGACTGAGCCAGAGGAGTAGATATAAATCGGCACTGACAGTGACCGAAGTACAGGAAACACATCAGGATAGACACTGTAAACACGATATCGCTGAGGAGATTTTTGTAGTATGAGTCCTCAAGAGATCTTCCAGTAGGATCAAAGTGGGCGGCAGTATAGCAGCAACGAATCAATTACAACGCAGTTACAAATACAAAGTATCGGAGCACTCACTGCCCTTTGATATGTCCCTCTCTATATGCCTCTTCCCACATCACTCCTTGCAACTCCTTCATTGCCGTGACCTGAACAGAGCATTTAAAGATCTTTGCTGATACTATGGTGACAATTTGACAACCAAATGTAACGAATTCGCTTCTTTAGAAGACCATTTCAAAACGGCACGAATACGTACTAGCTTCATGCTTGCTGATCGCTCTCAGAAATAGTATCTCAACAGAGAAAGGTAAACGATGGACTTGCTTAAAAGGAAAAGCCAAAGGTGGAGATGTCTTAAATCACACTTACCTTCTTGTCAGCTTTGATCCAATGTCTCACATTATGAGTCACATCATTTACACAATCATCCTCAGCATTTCTCACCAACCTAAATCCTGAAAGAGGAATGTCAACTATCAAATAACGAAGAGAAAAGAAACCGTCACAGAAGAACTCGTGCCCTGCACTTTCGCCTAAACCTACACCCTTAAAAAAATACAGGACGAGTCTTTGGCAATTGAACGTATTTCGTTGCGGGACCATTGCACTCCCCCTTCAACATCATTTGGTTTTGGCGCTTCTTTGGGCTGCAGTTTGCGGATGGAGATATGGAATGATTGTTCCTGACCAGTCATCTTTAACAGCAAGGCCGTGTGCGGTCAAGTTAATGTTAACTGAAGGGTTCATCCAAGCAATTAGTGACTGTTGGACGTTACAGTCACGTTCAATATGAACAATTGAGGGCCGTTTTTTCGTATCGCAGATTGTACGATAAGAAAGTGATTGCGAACAGCTCGGAGCTTCTGAATGAACTATAACACAACCACAAGGGAACCACAAAGGACCACTGAATTGCGGCATAAAAATCATTACTTGCTCTACAAGAATTGCCTTTGTTCTGAATAAAATGTCGGTCGCTAGGGAGTGATCACGGAGCACAGTCAAATTGTTCAAATGGTTGAAAATAAAACAAACCTTTAATTAAAACACACGAGCCAATAGGATCTGATCTCTGCAGGGGCTGCAACTATTTGGACAGGGTTAAACCAGGGTGAATAACGGTCGAGGAAATCCTCGACAGGGGGTCGTATTTGCTCCGATGAGAGTTGGGAGGGGGTCGTAATCAAAAGGTTCATCAACGGACACAACGGTGCTGCTGCCACTTATTTGCTGTCATCATTAGTTTCACAAGTGTTGTAGTTAGCCTAATGCAAAAATATCTTACTGTCTGGAATTAAAATTTAAATGGAAAGTGGTTGTTGGTTTGGTTCGTAGTGATCAGTATGGCATAGGAAGGCAACGCGTCCTGCAAAAGAATCGTAGGGAAAGGGCAGCGAGTATCTACTCTAGAATGATGTACATGCTTCGAGAACTTAGTGGAGGAACAGCATCTTGGTAGAAAGTTCAAAACAGGCAGATTCGCAGCCTTCTTGGCATCATCAGATCCTGCAACCGCAAGCGTGTCATTCATCAGAACGGGTTGGAAAGGAAGCGATTTGAATAAAGGAATGATCAGACATCACTATGACCACAAGAGTTATCCTAATTAGTTAATACTGGAAATATCTTTTGGTGTGCTTAAGCAAGTCGTCACTAGGACAAAACACCTTCCCAATGACTCCGAGTGGGGTCACTGCATGGCGCATACAAGAACGGAATGGATCCGCGCCAAGTGCATCATTTTCAATTTACTCCATCGAACTGACGTGTACAGAAGTATTTTGAAGGTGTTCAAAGAAGTTCCCTACTACGGCGAGGGAGTAATAGAGTTTTCGAGTGGCTTCGAAAATTTCCTTGACATTTCCTCGACGCAGATTTCTCGCGAACTAGAAAGCGTTCGAAACAACTGGAGCACCTATCAGAAAGCGTAAATCTTCTACTTTACAACGCTTTCCTCCGATTTTCAAAGCATTGCCAATGAAGACAGCTACTGTCTTCCAAAGAGTGGGAACTCGCATGTAAATTTCAATTTCCTCGACAATTTCTCGACGTCTCCCACTCTCGAGAATAGGCGTGCTTAGAAAAACGCTCAGCACAATTTAGAAACTAGAAGTCTTGTGCATTCAAAAGCTGCCTTCACTTTCTGAAATGGTTATCAATGAAGAAAGTTATAGTCCTTTAAATAGGGGGTACATTTGACGATTTTTCCAACTAGCGCGCTCTAGGCACAGCGCGCGACGCGATCGCGGGTAGTTAGCGCCGCTATACTGGAGCGCGAGACTGTTCAACTGTGTAGGGGCAGTACCTCCTTCAATGTTCTACTTTCCGGCCAATGTGGCAAAGGTTAAATGTCTTTAAAGGAAAGAAGGAGAACCTAATCTGAGCAGAATTGAATCTAGCATTTGGATCAAGCCGCATTTGCGTGGCAGCGGCGCTGCGTCCCTCTCGCACATCTGAAACTAGCATTTTTTGATATGAAACCGGATGTGCAGAGGACAAAAAGGGGTCGTATCAGAGTCCATGTTTTGGAGGGGGGTCGTAAAGAGGCGGTTATTTCCTCGACACGATTTTCACCCTGGGTCAAACATGCTTCTAAATGGCTGCTATTCGGTATGGATCGCTTATGGAGCGTATCTCGACGCTAAGCGCTTGTCATCCTGTTATAAATGTTATGAAAGAGAATGATCGAAATTACCCAAGTCCTTTTTTACTTGTGCGGCGCAGGGCTTACTGTTTCCAGCAACCATTGAAAAATGTGGAAGATTTTCAACTGACACAGGAAATAAGTTAGCACTGGAAAATTACGAGTACTGCTAAATTAGGTAAATCAGGTAACTGCTAAATTTTACTCGGCACTATTGCACTATTACAACCCCAGGGGGGTGAGATGGGTCAAAAAATAATTTTCGCTGAAACTTCGGCTATGGGGGTTATCGAGGGTCCTGATCACGAATATGATATTCATTTTTGGCGCTGGCGCCAATTGGCGCCATTTGGCGCCAACTGATTATCACCAAATTCGCTGTAAACTTCTGTATAGGGGTTATTTGGGGCCCTGATCACGAATATGACACTCGTTTTTGACATTCGTGCTGTTTAACGCATATTTTCTGCTTTTCTAAGCTTTCTCACCTATAGCGCCTAAGACTAAGCTTAGGGGAGGGGAGTGAAACTCCGGAGTGGGTAAACCACGCACCGTGTGGCAAAAGTTGGAGTGTGTTAGACCACAGGGGAGTGGCCTACTCACTTTGGAGCCCTCCACTATTCAAAGGCTTAGTCCTGATTGCGATCTAATTAGTGCGAGGGCGCAGACGAGCAGGAAATAGGCGCCGAATAGCGCCAACAACAAAAACGAATGTCATATTCGTAATCAGGACCCCGAATAACCCCTATACAGAAGTTTACAGCGAATTTAGTGGGAATCAGTGGCGCCAACTGGCGCCAAATGGCGCCAGCGCCAAAAATGAATATCATATTCGTGATCAGGACCCTC